TAACATATTTAGCAGTAAAAGATACAAAAATAAGAGGGAGGAGATGGAAGTAAACTGTTGTAAGTTTCTCGCATTATATGTGGACTGGTGAAACACTATTTGATGGTAGACTGTGATATGTTTAAAAAATGAAGATTGTAAATTTAAAAGTAAGAGGGAGGGAGAGAGACAGACAAGGAGAGAAGAGAGGAGAGGAGACAGAGAGAGGACAGAGAGAACAGGTCTACTGAATAAGCCAATAGAACAAAACTTGCCGTCGAGTTGATTCTGACTCATAGCAACCCTACAGGACAAAGCAGAACTGCCCCATAGAGTTTCCAAGGAGCAGCTGGTGGATTTGAACTGCCGACCTTTTGGTTAGCAGCCGAGCGCTTAACCACTGTGCCACCCGCTCCTTCATCATTAGGGAAATGCAAATAAAAACCACAATGAGATACCGCTTCAGCCCGATTAGGATGTCTATTAAGAGAAAAATGGAAAACAAGCATTGACAAGAATGTGGGAAAACTGGAACTGTCTGTACATGAATAATCTCCCGTCTGTGTCTCTCGTCTCCTTTGTAGGACACCACTCGGATGGGACGAGGTCCCACCCTGCTCCAGTACAACCTCACAGTGACTGATAGCATCTCCAAAGACCTTATTTCCAAACAAGGTCCTGCTCACAGGTACATGTTTTTGGGAAGACCCAATCCAGCCCCTACCAGTGGAGCTCTAGGAGAGATCTGACGGTTGCTAACTTTTTCTCACGGTGTAGTCCACATCCAGCATGCTGCAGAAGTAACGACTGGTTTGCCGCTCTTCTCTCCTGCACTGCCCCTGTGACCACCACAGCTGACTCACCCACTGTCCTGTCTCTGGTGCACACACAGTGGCTGCACGCCCTCATCCACGTGCTAGTTCCCTAGGGTACACGCCCAGCAGTGGGGGTCTGAGGCCACAGGGTAGACTCACGACCTGCACCTCCCTGGGCACCACGCACTGCAATCCAGCACAGCTGTCGAGGTTTACAATGGCTCAGGAGCACGTGGCGCCCTTGCCAACACGTAGAATTCTCTAGTTCTGATTTCTGCCCACCTGAAGGTGTAAACTGGTTGTTCCTTTCTGTTTACTTTGCATTCCTCTGAGGACGCGTGTAGGCTTTGTGGTCTCATCTTCTGTGAGCTGCCCCTTCATGTCTTGTCTTGTGTGTCTCTAGAATTCCCTGACTCCTTGTTGGTGTACAGATCCTTGTATCTTCCTGGTGTGACTTGTTTCAGACTGACGGTTTTGCTGCCCAGTTCCCTGCCTGCTGATTGTTGATGGTGCCCTTCCTGGATGAGCACTTCCCTTTCTGTGTTGTTGTTGACGGGTGTCGCCGAGTCGATCCTGACTCACAGTGGCCCCATGTGACAGAGTAGAACGAGCCCATAGGGTTTTTAGGCTGTGATCTTTACAGGAGCAGATGGACAGGTGTTGCTCCCACAGAGCCGCTGGGTGGGTTTGAACCGCTGACCTTCCGGTTAGCAGCCGAGTGCTTAACCGTTGCACCACCAGGGCTCCTTTTTCTTTTTGTAATTGTCATCAAAACTATCCATTTCCCGCTTCGATCTGAGCAGATTCGCAGTTTTGAATCACGGAGGCTGTACTTCAGCTTCTTTTTTTTTCCTCAGGCTCCACCTCCTTTCTCCAAGCGCGGCATTTTGGGACCCTCAGCAGGTAGAGGTAACTGGAGAAACGACGCCGGCTAAGGAAGCCTTGAGGGAGCCCTGCTGGCACAGTGGTTAAGCGCTGGGCTCCTAACTGAAAGGTCGGCGGTTTGAAACCACCAGCCGCTCTGTGGGAGAAAGATGTGACAGTCAGCTTCCATAAAGATTATAGCCTTGGAAACTACGGGGCAGTTCTACTCTGCTATAGGGGCGCAAGGGGTCGGAATCAACGCAAAAGCAACGGGTTACGCAGGCTTCGTCGGAATAGTTGAGATGTTCTGTAATGGACTGAGGTGACATCACACATCCTGACGAGGTTCTGAGTGGGGTCACCGTCTCAGGCCTCCCGCCTCAGCCTCCCTGTGGCCGTGAAGGCTCTTGGACCCCGGGGTCATCTCTCAGGCACTGTAGCACTTGTCGGTGGGAGGGTCAACATGAATAAATGTTACCTGGTAGGCGTAGTAGTAAAGTGCTACAGCTACTAAGCAAAAGATGAGCAGTTCGAATCCACCAGGCACTCCTTGGAAACTCCATGGGGCAGTTCTACTCTGTCCTATAGGGTCACTATAGGGTCGCTATGAGTCAGAATCGACTCAACGGCAATGGGTTTGTTTTTTTTGGTTTTCGTAGGCTAACAGGAAACGCTGGTGGCGCAGTGGTTAAGAGTTCGCCTGCTAACCAACAGGTCGGCGGTTCGAATCCACCAGGCACTCCTTGGAAACCCTATGGGACAGTTCTACTCTGTGCTATAGGGTTGCTATGTGTAGGAACAGACTTGATGGCAACGGGTTTGTTTTTGGTAGTCAACTAGGAAAAAGTCCCGGGGGGGTGCAAACGGTTTGCACTCAACTGCTAACCTCAAGGTTGGTGGTTCAAACCCACCTAGTGGCACCGCTGAAGAAAGGCCTGGAGATCTGCTTCCATTAAGATTACAGCTAAGAAAACCCCATGGAGCAGTTCTACTCTGTAATACCTGAGGTCGCCATGATTTGAAATCGACTTGATGTCCACGAACAACGGTAGGAGCACGCCGTGTCCTCTCATACTCGGGCCAGCAGCAGTGTCTGGAGAAGGCCTCTGTGCTATATACAGAAATCGACAGTCATGGGATGGTGTGTGAGCCTCCTGGGGCAGCCGTAACAAAGCACCACAGACTCGGCGGCCTAAAGCAACGGAGAGTTATTGTCTCAGCTCTGGAGTCTGAAATCAAGGTGTCGGCAGCAATCTGCTCCCTCCGGAGGCTCTAGAAGGTTCCTCTCTTGTCTCTCCAGCTTCTGGTGGTTCTAGCCCCCAGGCAGCCCTTGGCTTGGGGCCACATCACTCCAGTCTCTGTCTTCACATGACCCGTCTTCCCTCTGCGTCTGTCTGTCTGGGTCTTTCTCCTCCTGTAAGGACACCAGTCATTGGATCAGGACCCAGCCTAGGCCAGCATGACCTCCTCTTATCCAATTACATCTGCAAAGACCTTATTTCCAAATAAGGTCATATTTACAAGTGTTAGGGGTAGGGCACGATTCAGCCCATAACTAGCCGGCACAGTGACTGGGTTTGGTAACAAGCCGGCACAGTGACTGGGCTTGACACCTGTTTACTAAAGGGCAGTGTTTTCCGTACTGCAGAAATCCTGTTGCTCCGCTCTGAAGGGGCGTGCGCGGCTAGCACATGACACTTGCTGTGGGCCACACAGGCTTCCTAGAGCCTCACCCCACCTCTCACATTAGCCTGGGCAGGAGACAGAGAGCCCTCCCCACTGGCCCCAACCTCAGGATCAGGACCCAGCAGTGTGGCCCCCACACCCCACAGCCACCAGCCGAGAGCCTGCCCTCCTTGTGCTTCCTGCGAATGCGTCCTCTCACCTCCCCGCTGCTCCCCATGCACGTGGGGGTCACACTTGGCATCACACAGAACGTGCCCCCAAACCCCGCTCCAGCCTCTTCTGTGCCCTGCATCCACCCAGGCTGCAAATGAGATTCTCCTTGTCCCAGCTGAAAGGGGAATGCAGCCAGGGCAGGTCACCCTGACTGCGTCCCTGCCTTCCCCTGCAGTCACAGGTCACCATGAAGACAGGCTCCCACAGGAGGCCGTGGAGCAGAAGGCCTGGAGCTTGGTGAGGGCTTTTCTGCTCAAAATGGGGGAATGCTCTGTTATCCTTGTAGTCACCTCATTTTTCCGGGCCCTGGTTCCTGACCAGTCCCCAACCCCAACACGTGGGAAGCCCGGCTGCCTCAGCACCATTCCCCCAATTCCTTTCAGAGGGCAAAGCTGCCCCTTAACAGCATCGAATCCCCCTTCTCCAAGTTCTCCCAGCCGCTGGAACTCTGAATGTAGGAAAGACATCTTACTTCCCTGACCCAACGTCCCAAGGATTTGTTAGAAAATTTGAAATAGCTGCAGACTAACTAGGCTTTTCACCCGGGGAACCTGTCCGGCTCATTCAGGGACCCTGAGCTTCAAGTCACAGAAAACAAGGTCTCCGCCGTCCAGGGTTCAGGCTTGAAGGACTTGTACCACCAGGGGAAACCTTTCTCACCTATGGGTCTCAGTGAGCTACAGGATCGGTAATCAAGCCCCGACTGTGCCACTGACATGTTCAGCTAGGGCCAAGCAATCCCTGCTGCCCCAACCCTTCCTGCAGGTGGAGAGCACCTGTGAGCTGCTGCAAACACCACCCCACTTTTGTTTCTCCAAGGGCTTCCTGGCACGATGCCCTTACGCGCACCCACGACATTAAGGCCAAGCGATGTTCTCCACTTCAGGATCTCCCCCAAGCCCACCCACCACCCACAGGTGCGTGTTGTTGCAGACTGAGCCAGTTTAGTGAAGGATCCAAGTGACTAACCCTTGTTTTGAAATGCTAATTATGCTTCTTTGGGAGAAACCTATATTGCCGTCAACATTGTCAGGTGGCTGAGAAGCCAGGTTGGGCTCGGCAGACCTTCCACCAATCCCTACCCCT